GCAGCTGTGCAAGAGGTCTAGAGATCAAATGACCAAAAATAATGTCAAAAAAGGAGGGACATCTTGAAAAAAAAAAAAAAAAAAAAAAAGGAAGAATGAAAGAGAAACTAAAAAGCTCCATATTTGGAAAAGCTAATAAACACATAGAAATCTAAAAAAAAATGAGGCATTTCTTATCTCTAGAGGAAAAAAAGATTGTTTAAGAAGGGAAATGTAATCAGACAACACTGTTAGTCTCAGGAACAAACAGTAATCATAAATTGTGATAAAGCTGTGTTGGAGCACGTGGTAGGGAAGGTGGGAAGTGAGTAAGCACAGTATAAAAAGAATAGTCCTCATATTCTACAGTAAGAAATCAAATAGATAATGTCTAATATTGAAAAATGGAGAAATAGAAGCATATTGTATTATTTGGAAATATAGAGGTAAATTAGCAGGAGACATAGTTGAAAGAATTGAACATGTTTGCCTCTGGGAAGTAGAGCTGAGATGTGAGGGAAGGGGCAAGAAACAGCTATTTCTTGTTTTATGCCTTCTATTCTGTTATACAATGTAAACTAAGTGTGTGTGGCTATAACAAAAAACAAAAAATTATTTTAAAATGAAACAAAACATTGTCTTCGTACATATACTTAAAGATATTCACACACAGAAAAATCATACAGACCACATGACCATTCTGAAATAAAAGTAGAAAACAAAAAGGACAGTGCTCATTTCTCTTGAACAAAACAAACACAACAACATGCCCTTCCAGATAAACTTTGGGTTAAGAAGATAATAAAGCTAAAGTTATAGATTGTTTAGAAACAACAGTGACAGTTACATACATCTCAAAATCTAATGGGTGTGGCCAAAATGGCAGAATAGGAAAAGTTGAAGTTTAGAAATTAATGAATAATACAGTAAATATAAATGAAATCTAAGAAAGAAATAATATATTAGAAAAAAAGCAAAAGGCAAAGTACTTGATCCAGAAGTCAAAAGCTATGACAAAACTAATAAAGCAAACCTTTGGTAAGTCTGATTAGGATGAACAGAGATGCAGTGTTGAGATGGTTGACTCTCCAAATGATTAAGCTAAGTGAATTGTGGTCATCTCAGTCCCCTTTCTGGTGATGGAGTTAAGAATGAGCACATGGCCCAGTCCTGACCAATACGATATGATGGGAACATGATTGCAGAACTTCTGAGAAAACTTTCCTCATTGTCAGAGAGATACAGGCCAGGCACAGTGGCTCATGCCTATCATCCCAGCACTTTGGGAGGCTGAGATGGGTGGATCACCTAAGGTCAGGAGTTTAAGACCAGCCTGGCCAACATGGCGAAATCCTGTCTGTACTAAAAAATAGAAAAATTATCTGGGCTTGGTGGCACATGCCTGTAAACCCAGCTGCTCAGGAGGCTGAGGCAGGAGAATTGCTTGAACCCAGAAGGCAAAGGTTGCAGTGAGCTGAGATCGTGCCACTGCACTCCAGCCTGGGCGACAGAGCAAGACTCTGTCTCAAAAAAAAAGACACATAAAAGAGATGGTTAGTCCCTTTCTTTCTACAGAGGTCTGGGTATGATGTTGCTTAGAATCACTATAATCATCTTGCTGCTAGCTCAAGGGCAGTGATCACAGAATTGTAGAAGAATGGACCGAGAGTTTGAATTTGCTAAAAACTCTCACTGAACTTTTTGTTATGTGAGATAATACATTTCCTTAATGTTCAAGCCAATTTGAATCATGATTTCCTGTTATTTTCAACTGAAGTCATCCTAACTGATAAAAGAAAGAAAACCCAAAACCTAGGAATGAGAGGAGGGACGTAAATACAAACACCCAACTCATTATCAAAAAATAGGGGAAAAGTACAATGTACCTCTGCATACCAAGAAAATGGATGATTCCTAGGAAAGCAAAAGTTTTCAAAATTGACTCCCAAGAGAGATAGGAAATCCTAACCAGACCAAAAATGACAGAAAAAAAAGTTTGTTAAAGATCTATAACAAAAAATGTACCAAGCTCATATGATATTATAGGAGAATTCTAAAAGTGTAAATGAACAAAGAGTTGTAACTTGGGAAGCCTCAATATTACACAGATGTCAAACCTTACCCAAACAATCTATAAATGCAATGCAATTCTACCAATATCTTAATGGTATTATGGAATTCTTTTTTTTTTTTTTTTTTTTTTTTTTTTTTTTTTTTTTTTTTTTTTTTTTTTTTTTTTTTTTTTTTTTTTTT